TTTAGGTTTTTCTCCGGTACCAGGAACCGAACTCACGACCTTGCGCTTGCCAGGCAAGCGCTTTTGCCGCTGAGCTAAATCCCCAGCCCCTTCACAGTGATTTTTGAAGGTTTTTTCTTTCTTTTTTTTTTTTTTTTAATTCCCTTTAAGGGTAAAATTCTAAGTTACCAGTTTACTTATTTACCTTTGGTGTGCTATAGGTGTCATTTCATTGCTTCCATTGTTTCTGTTGAACTGTCAACTGCCAACCTTACTAAAGAGAAGATAATGTGGGATTTTTCCCCGCCAGTACTGGAGATTGAAACCAGGGCCTTCACATTGACCTACATGCTCCTTTTTAGCCTTCATTTTGAGAGAGGATCTCATTAAGTCACTGAATTGCCCAGACTGGGCTTAAATTTGTGATCTTCCTATCTCAGCCTTGAAATCTCAGCTACCATCACAGATGTGGGCTACCATGCCTGGCTAGTTATGTGTCATCTTGAAGATTTTTTTCTTAGATTTTCAGCAATTTGTGATATGACACCTTGAAACTTGTATGTTTTGTTGTTGTTACTACAGTCTCTTAGCAATTTTGAAAAACCTTGGCCAGAGGCTAAAACTACTGTTTCAGCCACAGACTTGCTCTTTCTTCCTCTGGGACTCCAGTTACATGGTACTAGGCCTTTTTTTGCTTATCTATTACATCTACTCAGTTGTTCTCTTTATATTTCTTTTTTAAAAAAGCTTTCTTCAGCACAAACATTTGTTACTAATCTTCCAGTTAACTAATCTTTTTTCCCTACTTTCACTAACCTGTTATTATGACCTTCTAAAGTCTTCATTAGTTACTGTATTTTTCACTTCAAGAGTTTTTAGTTCATTCTTTTGTATGTATTTTGGTTCTCTCTTAGAATCCTCAATTTTGTCTTCCGTTTTCTTGGCATATTAATACTTAATATTTTAGAATTTGTGTCTGGTAATCCCAGGATCTGGACCCCATCCTAGGTCTGTGGTCTTTCGTTTTACTCTGGTCACTCAGTCACCTCTTCTGTATGCCTGGTAGCTTTTGATGGATGCTGTACATTGTGTGTGGGAGGGAATTATAGTCTCAGGATGATGATTTCCCTTCTCAGGAGAGAGTTTTTTGTTGTTTTGTATTTTATTGGCCAAGCTGTTAGTGATACCCATCACTGTGATCTAGTCTAGGATTAAGGTGATTCCAGTTTGCGGGTGTTTGTGTTGTTTTGGTGTCCTCAGCACTGTGAGACTACTGGAAGCTCAGCTTAGCTTTCTGAGCTTTTAGTCTCTTACTAGCTACTTCGTTCTCTCTACTAGATCCCTTGCTGCTTATGCCATAGGCATTGGCAGTGCCTTCAGGGGAAAAGTAGTGAAGAATGTTCAGCTCACTTCTTTGCTTATCCTTTCTCTAAAAACTTGGAGTTTTACATTTTTTTTCTCTTAATGCACTTTGATACCTCGCAGAAACTTTCTATTTTCTGGTTCGTTTGTTTCGGGGAAGCTTCATCTGATACATGCTACTCCATGTAGTTCTCTTCGAAGACCACCAGTCCTAAGGCATTGCAGCCCCACTCTCATGACCTGACAGCTTTAAAGATTATTTGTCCCAGTGCAGTCACACTGTGGGCTGGGGCTCCAATATACGAATCTGGTCCACAGGTTCCTATAATGCAGACGCTCCTCAGCTGAGGATGGGGCTCCGTCCCTATAAACCCATTATAAAGTCCAGAATTGATAAAGTCAAACCACCATAAACTAGGGACCACCTGTACATAAAAGTACTTAGTTACCTGGCACATAGTAATTAATTAATTAGTTATGATTGTGTGGAAGATGTGATTTTAAACATTTTTCTTTTTTTGTTTCTAGGTGCTGACTTTGGATTACATTATAGAAGACTAGGAATGATAATTTCTACTTTCAGAGCGTCAGACTAAGAAGCTAAAGAGAAGCCTTTGTAAATAACTGGCACCTCTCCTGCTGTCCTTTTGCATTTGGAGACCCCTTTGTTTCACGTTTCTGAGGAGTTTATAACTAGTATAGTCACTATGAACGTGACAAGTTTATTTTCCTTCACAAGCCCAGCTGTGAAAAGACTTCTTGGGTGGAAACAGGGTGATGAAGAAGAAAAGTGGGCAGAGAAAGCTGTTGATGCTTTGGTGAAAAAACTGAAGAAAAAGAAAGGTGCCATGGAGGAACTGGAAAAGGCCTTGAGCTGCCCAGGGCAGCCAAGTAACTGTGTCACCATTCCCCGCTCGCTGGATGGCAGGCTGCAGGTCTCCCACCGGAAGGGACTGCCTCATGTCATCTACTGCCGTGTGTGGCGCTGGCCTGATCTCCAGAGCCACCATGAACTAAAACCGCTGGAGTGCTGTGAGTTTCCTTTTGGTTCCAAGCAGAAGGAGGTCTGCATCAATCCCTACCACTATAAGCGAGTAGAAAGTCCTGGTGAGTGAGTCTCTCTGTGTTGATGTACTTTGTGTGCCCAGTAGATCTGTGTCGTCTCACACCAAATAATCTTTCTGTTTTTTCAGTTGTAATTCCAGAATATTTGGGAAGTGTGTGTGTGAATGCGCGTATGCACGAGCACACTTGTGTCTGTGTATGTATGTATGTGAGAGAAAGAATGTGTTACTGAGAGAGAGGAAGGAGGGAAGGAGAGAGAGAATGCCCATGTATTAGCTTTCTATCCCTGGAACAAGTATCTGTGAGAGTAAACTTACAAAGAAGAGAAGTTTGTTTTGGCTCACAGCTTTGGAAGTTTCAATCCATGGCCAATTGTCCCATTGCTTTTGGGCCTGTGGCAAGGTAGCATGTCATGATATGGAGCATGTAGCAGAATAAAGTTTGTGGCAGAGCAGAGAGGAAAAGGCAGGAGCTGGGGTCCCCTGATCCCCTTTAAGAGCATACTCCCAGTGACCTGACTTCCCTCCCACTAGGCCCCATCATCTAAAGGTTCCACTTAAGATGGCACTTAAAGATGCCACTCTGGGAAAGAAACCTATAACATGGCACTTTTTAATCATCTCTGGTGGAATTTTGCTGTGGTGTATTTCTTGTGGCATATTTCTTGTGGAGTATATGGAGGAATTACGTTCTGTTGTAAGACCATTCTATAAAAATATTTTGTAAATTATGCCTAGCTTTTGCATGTATGACCTTTGGGAGGTATAAAGGATTGGACCTCCATATCTGGATTCTGTATCCATTCATGGAACTAAGTGGGGATTGAAAATACTCAGAATGAAAAAAAGTTGTACATGTTCAGTATAGACATAGCATTTTCCTGCTTATTAGTCCTAAACAACATTAGAGTGTAATAACCATATAGCACTTACATTATATTAGGTATTATAAGTAATTCAGAGATTATTTAAATGATAGGGGAGGATTGTGTGTAGGTAATATGCAAATACTCCATCATTTTACATAAGGAACTTGAGGATCTACAGATTATAGTGTCTCAGGGAGTCGTGGAGCCAGTCTTTTATGGGTATGGATGGACAACTGTATTTTTTAGTTTGGGTAGCATTTTGCCTTTAAGTTAGAATCCACAGTTGAGACAGATCAGTTGGACAGTGATTAAATATTCAAGCATTTAAATATATCATTATCACACTGAAACCAGTTTTGTTAATGGATTGGCTATTAATATAGCCAGTGGTTACTAAGAGTTTACAAATGTGGACGTGCACTAGGATCACATGGCTTCCCTGCAAAGAATCCTGATCTTGGGATAGTCTACTGACGTGTGCTTTTAACAAGTACTTCACGTATTGCTGATGCTGCTGTTGGATTGGTGTTTGGGGACTACTGAGCTAGATCACGTAATAACATGCTTTTTAACTACTTACAGGCCAATTATTTAAATACAGGATACCAAAAATTGAATATTTTTTGTTAATTTTATGAGATAACAGGAAATATAAAAGTGATAATTTTATTAAATTTATTCAATAAAACATTCAACATCTGCCCAACATCACTTGGGATAGTCAGTACGTAAACAAACACACTGCCTGAGTGATACTCGGGGTAAACTGTTAAGTGGTTAACTAAAAGGCATTCTGTATTTTTGTAAAATTTTTAAAACATACAGAAAGCATTTAAAGACTGAGGAATAATTTACAAACATCTGTGTATCCCCCACTCATTTAAGAAATAAAGGGTTATACTTAAACTGAAGCCGTGGTTGTATGCCCCAACCTCATTTCCTTCACTAACCACTCTTTTTAATTTGATATCTATCTTCCCATCCAAATTTTATAGTATTATGTGGGTATGAGTCCATGACACTGCATATTATTTTGTATATTTATAAAATGATACTAGAATTTTTCCTACTACAACTTATTCATTCAATACTGTATTTTTGTGATTCTAACATTTTAGGGTTACATTGTGTAATCCTGTGAAGAACCCACTGGGTATTTACTGAAATTTCATTGATTTCATTTGGGGAAGACTGATGCAGTTATACTCTTGAACATACTACTTAGTGTTTGTTTCTGTACAGTTCTTGCACATCTTTTCTTGGATTTATCTCTGGAATTCTTACTAGTTCCAATACAGACATTCTTTTCTGCTTGTTACAGCACATGTGACATACTGTAGTTGTTTTATTATTATTATTATTACTATTATTTTAGCAGAAGCTCAATGTAGAGACATATGGTCCTCTTTTTAGGCAGAAATTGAAATGGTGCTAAGAGTTTTGGAAAAAAGCAGTGTGTGAGTAATATGTAAAAACAGGATTATTCAGGTAGATGATTTTTTTTTTTTTTGGTACTGGGAATCGAACTCATGACCTCAGGCTTGCCAGGCAAGTGTTTATGCCGCTGAGCTACACCCCCAGCCATGGTAGATGATGTTTTGATCTCAGCTGTAACTTTCAGGGGTACGTAGGGAAGGTTTTAATCCTGCTCACATCATGAAACGACACGTCCGAAAGTTAAGTGATCTGTGTGTCAGCATTCTGGAAAGTAGGTGCGTTTTGACGTGAAAAGTATCCTGCAGCCGAGATTCACCGTGGATGCGTCTCCATCCACCTCCCCCTCTGTATTTCACTCTGCCCTGCAGCACTCGCCGCCTGACTGCTGCCCGCTTCAGTTCTGTAATCTGCTCTGCAGAAAGTGGTCCTTTAGGATGCGGACGTGATGTCGCCCACGTTTCCCGTGGCTCCCGGACAGCTGTACATAGAGCCGTGCAGCTGTGGCTCCTACTGCTTTCTCAGCTTTCTTCCCACTCGCCATGTGCGATGCGCTTGGGTTCTCTGGAAGCACTCTGTGCCCTCTCCTCCTACTCTTTCCTCCCCCTTGGCCCAGCTCACTCTTCTTTCTTTGTGTTTAAACTTCCTGGAGGAGGTCAGTTTCACCGGGAAGCCTTTCTTGGTGCCTCCTTTTCCTTCTCCAAGATAGGTTGTGTCTTTGCAACCTGAGTTTTTTCCACAGCGTTCTTCATGGGTACAGTTACTGTTCTGTTGGCCTTCTCTGCCAGATAGAGAGCAAAGCCCCAAGGAGGCGCGGACTGTGTGTGTTACTGCCATCTCTCAGCAGCTACCATTGTTCAGTAAATTTTTGCTGTTAAATAAAATACTGGTTATAATTTATCTTATATGATCATTTGTCCATTTTGTAGAGAATTTTCAGTTTGTCTATTCCTTTGGACCATCTTTTTTTTGGTCATTTTATTGCTGTTACCAACACCTCTGGCAAGATAAAAAGAGCAATGCTGAGATGATTTTGTTACTCTTAATAACTTACATGCTCTGATAGAAGCTTTGACCGGAGTTGGAAAACTGGCTGCCGTAGGCATTTTGACCCTTTGCAAATATCACTTCAGCCTCCTCTCTGCTCAAGAATCTTGTGAGAACAGTTCTACAGAACTTTTAAGACCAAAGGTAAGATATACTTAATTTGAACACATCAGGACTTCACTTACATTTTTTTCATATTGTGACTTGTCCGATGTCAGTATGGAAGAAAATGGACTTTTTTGTAGACACCACTCTGAAGCATCCTGTATATCTTGTGGGGAGAGACCGTGCTAAAACAACCCCTGTACCTCCCAGAATTGAATAGACACACTCTCTCTGGAATATGAGCCACATGGAACACACCTGCGTATTTCTGTGAGGCAGGGAAAAGGGGGTCTAGAATTCTGAGCTACAGATACACAACTCGACAATGAAGTACTTTGAACTGCATAAGTATTTTACTTCAGCTGAAGTGTTTTAAAGAGCAGTGTAGCAGTTTAAGCACAAGATAGTTAAGTCTTCCAAATTTGGTGTTATCCACTGAGTCCCTGACAACTCATGAGAAGAATCTTGATTATCTAGGTGGTTTACGGTAATTTTCAAACTGTGGTCTCCAGAGTAGTAGCATCAGCATCACAAAGTGCCGATTTCTAAAGTAACGATTGTGTATATTTATGGGGTGCAGTAGGATATTTTGATATATGTATACATCGTGGAATGATCAGATTAGGCTGATGTACTTATCACTACCCATCCTTGCCATTTCTTTGTGGTGGGCACATCTAAAATCTCGTTCAGCAGTTTTAAAATGCATAATACATTATAACCGTGGTCACCGTGCTGTGTAAGAGGTCAGTGGAACTATTCCTCCTAACTGAAACTTCGTACCTTTTCACCAGCATCTCTCCTTCCCCGCTCCTTCAGCTTCTTGCACCATCTTTCTACTCTGTGCATCTCAGTTCAGCTTTGTCAGATTCGACGTCTCATGTTTAGGTAGTCATACATGCTGCGATTCTTATGCGTGCTCCTGTTGGACAGCCGCTGGTTAAGTATCCAGCCAAGTCAAGCAGGCCCAGTTGTCTGGGTGTAGTTATCTCTTATTCAAAAGAGATGCTACAAAGTTCATCTTTTAAATTATTCAGCATTTTGATTTTGCATATTCTGATAGTTATAAAACTGACTTCCTCTTTCCAGAATTTTCCTTTTGCTGATACTTTCAAGGTTAGCAGTCTGATGCCTTTAAGTGGGTAGTGGAGGAGAAAGGCATGCTTTTGTCGTTTGGATCAATGCAGATTTTTTTCCTCAGCTGTTAATTTTCATTAGCACATGTTTGCAAGTATATAGTGATTACATTCATCCTAAGGAGTTGTTACATGTATGTAACACATCAGTGCGTCTGAGAAGTGTCTATTCATTTTAGTTGCCCATTATTTGTTTGGGTCTTTTATTTTGGGGGAGTCTAATTTTTTGAATTCTTTATGTATCCCAGATATTGTCTGGGAGTAGTTAGCAAAAAAACTTTTCCTGCTCTGTAGGTTGTCTCTTTACTCTTGTTATTTCCTTTGCTGTGCAGGAGCTTTTTGATTTAATAGAATCCCTTGTGTTGATTCTTGATGTTACTTCTTATGTAGTTGGTGTTGTGTTCACATACCTTTTTGGGTATCTTTTACTGTGTTTTTTTAACCAACAATAA